GGAGTGTGTATAGGAGTGTGTTCACATGCCATTACTCTCTGGAGTGTGTATAGGAGTGTGTTCACATGCCATTACTCTCTGGAGTGTGTATAGGACTGTGTTCACTGTCTTAGAAACCAGCATCAGCAAACTAATAAGATAACTTTACATTTTTGTCATGCTAGCTTTCTGCTAGTCCTAAACTATATTTCCTAAGAAGATCTTTCAATCCTCTAAATTCTTGAGCTAATTCATGGAGTCTGGGGGTGATGGTTTATAATGATTAGCCTGGTGTTTTGATAAGGCCCCTAAAGGTCCTTGCTTCTTATAGGAGTCCATGGCTATTCCATCACCTCCCCCATTAAATGGCACCTGTACAAACTATGGAAGTCTCTAGAAAACAGACCCAATCCTACTTTGTCTTATATTATATCATACCATAAAATAAACATTTATTTTGCCTATAATGATATCGTTTAAGCCACTCCCATTTTTTAGGTATGTGTACCTGGTCTAGCATGTTTGCAGTATGGTAGACTTCCTCTTGGTGTTTTTGGTGTCTTGAATAGTGTGGCCACTTTAAAAATATAAAGATCAAAGAGGTTAAAAAAAAATGGACCCTATTGTGTGTGTATCTGCCCATAGCCTGGAAGTATGGAGATAGTCTTCCTGTACAGATGGCCCTTGATATTCATGGAGTCTCCTTAGAGAGACATGGCATACATCCCTGAGTTGGGCAGTATTGCTGCATATCAGAATGCCCACAGACAGTAATAGAGTAAAACCTGAAATTTGAAAAGAGATGAAGACCTTTCCATCCTAAATAACAACTCTAGTCCCAGAACAAAGAACATTGAGTGCATGGCTAACTAAAGTTGCTTGATAATTTTTAAGAATTAATCAAGAAAGTAGCCAGTCCAGTCTGAGGTTGAGGTGGAGATGGAATCAGTGAGTTGACTCCTGATTTGCTTAAATAAATTGTGCCGCATACCTTAGGTTCTGAATTATAAATCCATGCCTTGAAATAGATATAAATCCTTACACATGGTATTTTATAGGATTCATCTGCAGATTCTACTACAGATGCTATAGAGGAGAATTAGTCATGTACTGTAGAGGTACTTATTTCTAATCTATTTATTTGCTCCTGGTTCAGTGATCTTGTGAAGTAAGTCCTGCTGCTATTGAATGAGTCCTTTATAAACCATTAAAGCCAGTTCTCCATGAAGAAGCCACATTTGTGACTATCTGCTTCTACCATTGTTGAACTAGATGAGAGAATTGTATATGTGCCTTTCTCCCTTCTTAAATAACTGCCCTGTTGGGCAAGATATATGAAAGCTATTAAAATAATTGCAGCTAATTTCTGCCTATACTTACTGTCCTCCAAGGGGCCTTTATTTACTTTGGTGACCCTTCAGAGTCAGTGAGCTAGGGAGAGTGAGAGCCAGAGAGGCAACACTCTCAAGGGCATCATGACTTCCTAAATCTTGGACCAAGCAGAGTGTCTGTCCCAGTGCCTGCTCACATCTGCTTTCCACAGACTTTCACTTTTTGGTTTACAGAGCATTCCAAACACTCTAACCCAATTCTGGGTTATTCTGTAGTATATGAAGGAGGTGATAACAGTTTATATTACTTACATCATCTAACTGATGCTTTTTTTCCTCCCCATTTTTATCAGGCAAAAGCAAAAGAAGAAAGGCAGGAGAAGTGTGGTGAAGACGATGACACAGTCCCGGCTGAGTACAGGTTAAAGCCGGCTGTGGTAAGCTCTCTGCATAACAGCACACTTCTTGGCATCATGCTTATGATATTCCTCCCCTTGACACCAGGAACAAAGCTGTCGCACTGCAGATATTAACTGCGAGCATGCTGGACCTGTTTCTCTTGGCTCTCTGAAGCCACAGGACCAACCCCCCCAGGGATGGTTTGTCCTTTCATGGCTTCTAAAGTAGTCGTTAAAACTCTAACCTATTTGACTATTTGGTAAGAGGAGAAAACATTTCCTAAATTGTGAAAACTCATGTTCAAAAACTAAATGGTGTTTAAAATCCAAAAATGATATTTATCCCAATCCGAGGTTGGAGAATTGAAGCTTTTTATATTTTAAGACAGGTTCTCAAGGTAGACTTAACTAGCTTCAAACTCACTCTGAAGTGGAGACCATCCTTGGACTGATCCCCTCCAGCTCCCAACTGCTGAGATTACAAACCCAGCTCTGTAGAACTGAGTTTTTTTTTAATCTTCCATTAAGGAAGGGATAGCCTGATGACTCAGTGGTTAGAGACACTTGTCACCAAGACTGACTATCTAAGTTTGATCCCTGGATTCCATGTGATAGGGAAAAACTAACTCTGCACACACCCATACACATAATAAATACTCAAAAAACAATTTCATTAATACAACTGCACTATTCTCTTTTGTTTCATTGTTTTTATTTATTTATTTATCTCTTTGCCTTACCAAACAGTAAATCTTTCAGTAACTTGTAATGAAAAACAAATCATAGCATTCTTAGAAAAGATTTCTATATTGAAACTTATAGAAATTAAATCTAAAATTAATTCACTCAAGTATAAGAAAAAATAAGCTTACCTCTCACATCCTGGGTTTGCCTAAAACAAACATAATAGAATATGAAAGCATGGTCTCCTATTCCTTGTTCTCCCTCTCTGTTCTTGATCCAGCTGGGTTCTCCTGCTCCCACAAGCTCTCTCTCCCTCGACCCCTCGCCCTTCATTACTCCCACTCATGTCCAGGCTGTTCATGTAGATCTCAGAATAGGAGACCATGGTAAATGAAGACCACATGAGAATAGGAAGAAGCAAAGTGCTAGAGAGACCCACAGAAATCCACAAAGATACCCCCACAATAGACTACTGGCAATGGTCGAGAGACAGCCTGAACTGACCTACTCTGGTGATGGGATGGCCAAACACCCTAACTGTCGTGCTAGAAATCTCATCCAATGACTGAGGGATCTGGATGCAGAGATCCATGGCTAGGCCCCAGGTGGAGCTCCGGGAATCTAATTATCGAGAAAGAGAAGGGTTTATATGTGGGAAAATTGTTGAAACCAAGGTTGGATAAAGCACAGGGACAAATAGCCAAACGAATGGAAACACGTGAACTATGAACCACTGGTTGAGGGGGCCCCAACTGGATCAGGCTCTCTGAATGGGTGAGATAGTTGATTGGCTTGATCTGTTTGGGAGGCATCTAGGCAGTGGGACTGGGTTCTGTGCTCATTGCATGAGTTGGCTGTTTGAAACCTGGGGCTTATGCAGGGTTGCTTGGCTTGGCCTGGGAGGAGGGGACTGGACCTGCCTGGACTGAGTTGATCTACGAAGTTGATCTCAGTACTTGGGGGAAGCTTTGCCCTGGAGGAGGTGGGAATGGGGAGTGGGCTAGGGGGAAGGGGTGGGAGGCGGGAGAACAAGGGAATGCACGGCTGATATGTAGAACTGAATTGTATTGTAAAATAAAATAAAATAAAATAATTGGTATTATGAAGACAAAAAAAGAATATCAAAGCAAATTTTTCTATTCTATCTCCAATAAATTTCTAATTTTATTTTCAGGATAAAGATGGAAAACCACTATTGCCAGAACCTGAAGAAAAGTCTAAGGTTGGAAAATTTTCCTAGCACTCAAAACCAGCAAAAATATAAAGTGTAAATTAGGATCATTTTAAAAGACCACATTTCACATGCAACCTAGTACTGGGGTGAATTCTTATAGTAACTCAAGGCTGAGGCCTCTGCTCTTTTGCAAATATTTTAATGATGGTTTCTCTCATGAATTATTACCAGACTATTAAGCAGCATTCACCAATCATTAGGAGTTAATGCTAAAAGAGCTTTTACATTATATTATTTTGGCATTTAATTTAGAATTTGATTTAGTAACTGTGTTATATACTCTTAACACTTTTATTTTGCCCTAAATATATATAGTCAGTTTCCTGTCATGATGACACCAATCAGCATTTTTAATCACCTGCTATGTGCTTAACCTCGCTCTAAGTGCTTTTCACATCTCC